TCGTGAGTTCCGAGCTCTACACGGCCGAAGCATCTACTAACCTTGACACCAAGACCGATTGCCTTCTTCTATTGCCTTCAATCCTTCAAGATTGTTCAAGTCATGGGCATCTACTGTTTCGCGCACTATGTCAGAGTCCTATTGAGAACTTCCGCGCCAAGGACATGAGACTAACGAACCGAGCCTATTCTGGTACAGTTCTTGTCACCCTGCTTGTGGCCTATTATGTGCCACTGGTCACCGCAATTATGCCAGTCTTTAGCATCACAACTCGACTTACCTGGGGATACGTGTTCCAGTACTTCCCTTTCTCCATCTCTATACTACAGAATGGACTCAAGCACTTGTTCCTGGAAGATGTCATGGACGAGGACAAGATCCGGGCCCCAGATGGCGACTTGTCTTCGATTGGCTTGACAATCTATACATTTGCCTTGTTCGCGTTTGTCGCAAGAGTACTGGCGCTCATCGGTACTCTAACATCACAGGTCCTCTCGCAATCCTCTGACATGATCCTCATGACAGAGCTCGGAGGATGGGCTCAGCCCATTCGCTTATTTGAGATACATGCTATTTTTGCAGTATTGCTTGTTTGGCTTCTCTACTTGTTTTCGGACCTGAAGCGAGCTGAGATCGTGCAATGGAGCTGGCCGACTCTTCTCGTGTGCATCGCGGCAGCCCTCTGTCTCTTCGGGCCTGGCGTCACTGTCGGTATGGGGTGGCTGGTACGAGAGCGGCTGCTTGCGACAAAGAGCCATAAGGACGCTATTGTTGATACCGAGCTCAAAAAGCAGGCTTTGTAGATCTTCACGTAGTGCTCGCAGGGAATTTGGAACTCGTTGTGGGCAACTAGACAGAACTCTTGCTCCATCATCATTGTCTGCTAAAGTAATACTGAACCGAACTCGATCAGGTCAAAAAAAATGTGGTTCGATCAGTGCTTGTCCATTCGTCCTCTTCTGTGGTAGGAAGCACCAGCAGTCTCCTCTGGTCACTAACAGTACCCTAGTAAGAAAAGGTTCTTCCTGATGACGAGGGATATGGAGACTGACGACCTCCGTCTCGACTTGAGAAGCAAGAAGGCCCAGCTGAATGTGGCAACAAGCCGGGCCGAATGTGCTGTACGTACAGCAGGTATTGCTTCCCGTCTTTCCATGCAGTGATGGGCACTCCCGGTCCGATAAGACATATCTTGCGATCACCTCGGAGAAACAGACAGATGACAGCTCACATGAGCCAGGATCGAATGAACACCAAGACACGGCCGACATGGGTACGAGCCGTGTCTGAGAACGGCTTCCGGGATGTATGGCATCAGCGACGCTTGAGTGTTGTCAATTGACTCAGGCGAAGGTTTTGGTATACCATTTATCTGTCAGCACAGCCATGCTTCAAGATAATGTTAGAAAGCAGACCTCTGTTGCGAGCTCACCAATCCTCAACATTCGTCTACACCGCGGAAAAGTAGCACCTGACAACGATGTTCAATTTCTCTGACAAGATGTCAGAATCAGAAGTCGGCAGCTGGGGAGCCAACATGGCATCACAAAAAGTCCCACTTTATGCTTTGTTCACAGCCTTTTCGTTATTCGCAGTCTTTGCCTACCGGACCATGAGCAAAGAAAGGCCGCTCGTGGGGTATCCGATGGCTTCTATTCCAGGTAAAAGTGCCAGAGAGAGTTGGCTGCTTGACGGAAGGAAGCTTGTGGAAGAGGCAGAGCAAGAGGTACTGGAATATCTTGGTTTTCTTATCAATGATCATTGGGCTGACTAGCCTCTATAGTACGATGGACCTTTCCAGATCATGAGTGGCACGGGGCCGAAACTCATCCTTCCAAACAAATATGCGCATGAACTACGAAACCACCCTTTCCTGAGTCTTAATAAAGCTTTCGTTCAGGTCTGATGGCTCGCCTTCGAGTTCTCGAGATGCCTCGTACTGACCGAATTATTAGGACTTTTTCACCGAGTACCACGGATTTGAGCCATTCTTGGAGGGGACCCGCGATGACGGCGTTATCTCAGATACGGTGCGAACCAAGCTGACGCAATCTTTGGGCTTGATCACCGGAGATCTGGTGGACGAGACCAATGTTTCCATGCCCCACATCTTTGGGGACAGCACAGCGTGGACAAGCGTATTGCTCAAGGATGCCATCCTCAACCTTGTCGCTCGCCTGTCATCAAGGGTCTTTCTCGGCGAAGAGCTGTGCAGAAATGAGGAGTGGCTCAGGATCGCCAAGAGCTATGCCGTCGACGCCTTGACCGCAACCTATCTGATGCGAATGGCCCCAAGCCTCCTGCGTCCTATTGCGTACTGGCTCATCCCGCAATGTCGAAGGAGCCGCCAGGCGGTTCAGAGCGCGCGCAAGCTCATCGACCCCGAAGTAAAGAAGCGGAAAAAGCTAGTGGATGATGCTCTGCAGTCTGGCGCCAAACCGAGCAAGATATCTGACGCCATTGGCTGGATGTATCAAGTCGCTGCCGGCCGGCCCGTCGACTTTGTTTGCGCACAGATGCAACTTACGCTTGCCGCTGTTCACACGACCACGGAAGTTCTCACACAAGCCATTCTGGATCTCTGCGAGCGCCCAGAGCTTGTGCAAAAGCTACGAGATGAAGTGATCGAGGTGTTGGGTGATGAAGGCTGGGCAAAAACAAGCTTCTACAAGCTTTAAACTCATGGACAGCTTTTTTCAAGGAAAGCCAGCGGGTTTACTCCTCTGGTCTCAAGTAGGTGCTACGCATGGGCACTGGAACTGCTTCTGACACGTTTACAGCAGCCATGAATCGTCTGGTGGAGAAAGACATTACGCTCTCTGACGGGAGGTTTCTACCAAAGGGCGTCCGTATTAATGTCCTGACAGACTTCAGGAACCCGGAGAAGTATCCCAACCCGGATGAGTTTGATGCAATGAGGTTTGTTCCCATGCGACAGGGTCAAGGCAGCGAGAACGCTTCGCAGTTGGCATCGACAAGCTCTGAGCATACCCTTTTCGGCCATGGCCGACACGCTTGTCCCGGTCGATTCTTTGCCGTGAATGAGATGAAAATCATTTTGGCTCAGTTTCTTCTGGAGTACGACCTGCGCGCTGAGGAGGGGCTTACCAAGCTTCAGCCACAGGCGTTCGAGACTTCCATTGGCGTCAACCCAGCGGTTACGATAGAAATTCGACGGAGAAATAAGAGCGCTGATATCGGAATTGAGAAACGACAGTGACAGACTAACGAGTTGTCTTCAGGTTGTCTTCAGGAGGTTACTTGACAGGGACGAGGTATTACTTTGGGGTCGAATCAGGTCTACAGCGTACCCAGCCGCGAAGTTTACGTGGATACACAAGGCCTGTTCATATTCAGTGGTTTTACATGTATTTGGTCACCCCCAATAACACCAATATCGATTTATTCCAAGGAGATCAAACACATTGCAGTAGTAGACGAGAAAGTGGGGGACAACCGTTGCACTGTTCGCCTGGAAAGCAAACCAGTCGGTCCAGCACCTTTCATAGTCAAAGGATAGACAGTCCAGCCCAGGGCTCACATCGATATATCCGGTTGAACTATAGTACTGTGCATTAGGCTCGGATGCAGAGAGCACATTATGCCGCGTCCAGGGCAGGCTTGAGAGTGAAGGTTGAGTGACGCGAGGGAATGCCTTGGCCAGCTGCTCAATATATGTAGTGGTTTGTCGTGCCTCGACGTGGTTGACAAGCTTGGACATGTGCGGTTATACGTGGCTTTGGCGCACACATACCCATCTCGACAGGCGGGGTATTACTGGGCGGTCAAACGCAACATACAATCCGGGAGAGAACGCAGTGTTCACTTGCGGAGTGATTCTGTTGCACGTGAGCTGGCTTAGCTACGTCATAGGTGATTAACAGCGGTTAAGTGGACGTATGTGGAAGCTTGTGAAATCATGTCTGATATCTGGTCTTGGTACCTATGTCTGTGATCCGATCAGGCGAAGGATGTAGCATACAATGCTTTAAATATGGACTCAAGGCCTGGATTTGAGGAAAGCCTCCGTTCATTCCTTACTCCCCTTTCCGCGCTGTGTCGAAGTAGGCCGTGGACGTCTTCGCGCCGATCTTTCCACCAAGAAAAAGAATTCATGACCATCAGGCAAATCACCGAGAGGCCAAGTACCATTTGCCTTGAACCATGCAAGTGCTTGGAGAGGCTCGTCGTGGTCAACGTAAAATCCAGAATCAACACATGATACCATGTCATCGGTGTTGCATGAATCGAACAGAGAACCGCGAAGCTTCGCTGCTTGGATATATTCGATTGGCGAGACTGCCATCACACCGGCTGCATGAGCTTGGGCAAAATCCAAGGCGACGTCGGCAAAGCGGATGTCTAATGCGTTTGATTAGTACCGATCCAAAAAAAAAAAAATCATGCACGGCGCCAACGTACCTCCGACAGCTTTGGCAAGAGCTTTGCACGCCGCTGGGTGGGAACTCATGATACCGAGCGCATCGTCCTCAGGGTCGATCATGTGCAGTAGCAGCGTGGTTGCTATTTGTCGTTGCCGATAGTCGCTGTGAACAACCAGCTGAGTGACCCAGCAAACCTGACGTCCCGCATGTTTCCAGCGGCAGGCAAAAGCATTGCCAACCAGGGCTCCATCGATAGTTACTTGCATATAAGAGCTTCTCGAGCCGTCTGGGAGACATTGGGATCGAAGACGAGCAGGGCTCATCTTGACTCGGCTACCTTCTCAGCTGTCAGTAGTGGAGGCGTGAATCACCACGTTGTCTTACCTGGTTTTCCAAACCCGTTCTTGCCCCAAATACCATAGTGCTCGCTAAATAACTTGGCCGCCTCCTCCAGCATAGTCTCCGTGACCTCGGCACCCTCGAATTTCTTGAAAGTCGTGGTCATTGTGCCTACGGATGTTTTCCTACGCTTCGGGTGAGGATCTCCCACTTCGAAAGTTTGAATGGCGATGTGGTCGGAGAATCGCACTCTAGAAGCGGTACGATCCATGGCGACGGCTGAGCCAGCAGTGTTTTATTATCATGTCTGTTTTGATCGGGCAGGCTGATATGGTTCTGCACCTTCCTTCCTGTCCGTGTAAGAAAGGGCGTGAGGGTATGCCTGCCGCTGGATCCAGACACGGCGCCCCACTGCACCTACCTTACGTTACGCTACAGTGGATACAAGGCAGGTGCGTCATTGGGAAAAACGCACGTGTCATGCTGAGCTAGGTAGCTGGGTTTTTGGAATCCGGGAGCTGGAGCTGGAGCTGGTGGAAGCTGGGGAGCTGCACAGGCAGCGACAAAGCGGCAGCCCTTTTGTGACGGTCAAGCAGGCAGACGACTTCGCCCTCCCCATCAACAACGACTGGCAAGGCCACGTAGCTGTACAAGAGGGGCCCTCGCTGCGCGACACTTGTTCGGTCTGGACAAATATCCACACGTCCGCTGCTAGTCAGCCCGCACCCGTTGCTCTAGAGACAGACTACACCATCGAAAATCCATCGTCATGGTGTCCTTCTGGCCCTGGAGGGTACGTCTTCCGACTCGGCGGGCACTTCTCCCACGTTCATGACTGACCTGCCACCAGGGCGATGACTCCTCCCCGGCTTCGTTCGAAAAAGCCCTCTCGGCTCTGTCCACCAAGATTGCCGACTCCCAGGCGCGCCTCGAACGGCGCCCGCGCCGCGTCCCGCCGTGTGCGGGTGCTGTGGACGCTCTACCTCTCCTTCGGCTACCTGATCTATGCGATTGTCCAAATCCTGGTCGTGGGCACCAATAACATGCGCACCCGCGAGTGGGCGGGCGTTGCAGGAGGTCCGGTCGTGTAAGGGTCTCCCCCCCCCTCTTCGCCTAGAAGAGTCTGCGCCCAGGTAGACTGCGTGAGCGCTGCTAACAAGTGGATCTCCCCTCCGCGCAGCATCTTCCTGACGAGAACGGTCGTCACACTCTACTTCAACTTTCGGATCGAGAGGCTCTCGGTGCGCCTCAAAGAGCAGCAGGACGAGCGCGCCAAGACGATCCAGAAGCTCAAGGACGCGACCAAATACGACTCGACCATGCAGCTTCTGGAGAAATACGGCGGCGAAAACAAGACGGACAAGGATGGCAAAAAGGCGGACAGCAACCAGCAGAACCCCGGATCCAAGCAGCAAAATGAGCAGCAGCAGCAGGGCCAACACGGCAACAGATCTGGTCGCACTGCGTTGCCTCCTCCCCCGACGGCCAACATTCAGCGCCGTAACGGACCCGTGGGCGTGGCGACCCCCGGCACGCACCAGTCTGGTCACGGCGATTCGCAGTTGGGTGCGTCGCGCCGCTTACCGGCCTCGAGCCGTCGGCCGAGTTTGCGCCCAACGCCTACACCCAGCAGCCGCCGCAGCACTATGCCCAGCAGGCCGAGCTCACGACCGACTCGTCGCACTGGTATGACCGTATTATGGACCTGCTTCTGGCGAGGACGAGACGGCGCCCAAGAACCGTGTGGTGCTCATCTGCCGCAACTGTCGACTCGTCAACCGATCAGGCGCCTCCGGGAACCAAGTCTCTGGCAGAGCTGGGCATGTGGAAATGCATGTCCTGCGGAGCCGCGAATGGCGAGGTGGACGAGGGCAAGCGCATCGTCGATGAGGTGCTCAGGTCAAAGGAAACCACGAGCGAGGTCACGGCGGGCGAGGAATTCAAGGAGGAGGAGGACAGCGAGGAGGAGACGCCCGAGATGGTGCAAGTTGGCAAGGACGAGGTTGGCCCCGAGGGCCAAGCGTCTGGAAAACACACGGCATCAGGCACCCGCAAGCGGAAGGGAAAGAAGGGCTAAACAGGCTAAAAAGCGCCCATGTGCGACGTCTACCTACTCTCTAAGACAGATGAGAACAATTCCCTTGACGAATGAAAAAAGTACATTCCTGAACACAAAATCAGCCGCTTCTTCGTCTGAGATATCAAGTGCTCTGGGCGATCAGGGTCCAGCTGTAAAGCCACACTTGGTTCTAAAAAAGGTCTGCACTGCCACAGCCGCTCCCAGGCACCCCCATCAGCAGCACCAGCGCCGCACGCGTCCAAGCTTTGGTCGTCCGTGCTCCCCCAGGGTGTCTGGTGCGACGGCCAACAGCGAACAGCCTGGTCTTCCATTGCTTCAACAAAAGGGATTCCTTGTCCTCAAGGAGCAAGCCGCCCAACACAACGACCACCATTGTGTCGGCCTCTTCCGTACGGCCCCGAAAAAATTCGAAGAGATACAGAGGACGATGCATAGTTTCTAGATACCAAAAACACTATTTTTCAACACCCATCGACCAGCCCATTTCGACCCGCGCATGGTGTCAAGCTTCTGAACTGAACGAACCCCTGCGCCGGACATCACCATGTTCCAGGTACGCCTGTTCAACTCTCTCTCTCTCCCTCTCCCTGCCTCTGTTTCCCCAATTCACAAGCCTCGCGCCCGAGCAGACGCAGACTGACCAACCGTCCCAGCGACTCAAAGCCTCGATCGACCGCACGATCGCCGAAGAGCAAGCTCGCCAAAAGCCCGACCAGCCCCTGGTCCAGCGCACCCCCTCCACCTCCCGCGGCGGCGGCTCCACGTCGAAGCAGCGCAACCGGTCTCAGAAGCCCGTCCCCGACCTGCCCGCTGACGCCCCCGCGAACCCAGACCCGGCCGTCTTCGAAGCCGCTTTTATCCTCGACGACGGCGAGGAGGCCAGCCGCGCATCGACGCCCAAACCGCCCGGCATGACGGCCGACGAAAAGACAGAAGGCGTCGAAGAGCTCGGTGCCGCGCAGCAGCAGTCCAACGGGGACAAGGAGAATGACAGGTCTGATGGCGCGGGCCAGGCCGATGCGCCGCATGAGCTGAGCCCGGAGATCCGTAGCAAGCTGCGCAAACTGGAGAAGCTCGAGAAGACCTATCCTGGTAAGAGACGACCCCCAACACACGGCTCTCCGATCTTCCTCGAGATACGATCCCTTCCCATGCTGACTCGTGAGCAGAGCTTCTGCGGTCGTACAGAATCGCCCACAGCCGCGCCACTTCGATCGAACCTTTCGAGCGAGCTCTGAAGGAACATACGAGCGTCACGTCGATTAAGGAGCCTGAAGCTCTTGTTGAATACCTCGACTCCCTGAAGCAGAAGGAGCAGCTCATCATGGAAGAGTACAAAAAGGTCTCGATTGAGAAGGACGAGATGAAGAAGAAACATCAGGCGACCGAGAGGGAGCTGGCCGAGCTGAAAGACGAGGTCGCCACTCTCAAGGCCAACAGTCACGCCACAGACGGCCCAGTCAAACCCGAGACTGAAAGCAAGGAGCCCGACGCCGCATCCGACCCGACGAGCAATCCATCGTCAGTCAAGTCCCCCGTGCAGTCCGTCCTCGGCATCTTCTCCCCCAAGCAGAAGCCCCAGGCTCTCGAAGATGACAAGCCCGCCGCAACTGATGGGGGAGACTTCTTTTCCTACGACGACGAGGTTCCTCAGATGCAAGCCGACGTCAACGCCAAGACCGAAGAGATCGAGAGGCTCAATGCTGAGGTGGCCTTGCTGAAGCAGGAGCTCGCTGTTGCCAAGGAGTCCAGCTCGGAGCTCGTTCAAAACCTCGAAAAGTCCACCCGTGAAGCCGGCGAGCTCCGCGACTCAGCCGCTGTCACTGCTACACTCAAGACCCAGCTGGAAGCCAGAGACTCTGAAATCTCCTCCCTCAACAAAAAGCTGAAAGCGACACAGGCCCAGCTAGAGAGACCAAGACCAGCCTGTCGAAGAGCTTGACTCACTGCGTGCATCCTCCAAGGAGTCACAGACAAAGCACCGAAGCTATCAAACGTGCCGACAAGGAGCATGCCGAGCTGAAAAGCTTGCCAAGGTCCAAGACTGAGTCAGAAGAAGAAGATCAGACCTCACGAGTCGATCGACGACTTGAAGAAGCTCAAGGCACAGGATGAAGCCAGATTGCCGAGCTCACCAAGAAGCACGCTCAGGCCGCACAAGTAACCGCGAAAGCGCCGGCCCCTGCTACGCCTGCTGCTCCTGCCGCTCCAACAGCCGTGCCGGCTGCCGCGCCTACGACCGCCTCCGCAGCGTCAAAGAAGAAGAACAAGAAGAAGAAGAAGGGTGGTGCAGCAGCAGGCTCGGCAGTAGTCGAATCTACGAGCGAGCCTGTCACCGAAACCACAGAAACCACTGCAGCTGTCCCGGCTGCGGCCGAGGACCCAAGCACCAGTTCTGCCGAGTTGGAGGCGGAGATTGCACGTCTCAAGGACGAGGTCACGCAGCGTGACGCACAGATCGAGCGTCTCTCGAAGCAGCGCAAGACGGAGGAGGATCTCACCGAAGAGATTGAGACGCTCCGAGACGAGTTAACTGACATCGGACAAGGTCACGTCGAGTCTAAGCAGAGGATCAAGGAGCTCGAGGAGGAGAAGGCCACACTCCAGGCCAGAATCGAGGAGCTCGAAAGGGAGATTGGATCAGCGACGCACGATGCCGAGGCCCAGGTCAAGCTGCAGAGCGAGTTTGATGGTCTGCGCAAGGAGTACGACGACCTCAAGATCAAATCAACAACTCTGCAGTCAGATCTGAGCGCCGCGGAGCAGCTTGCACAGACCCGCTACAAAGACCTGACAGACCTGCGTGAGGTGTTGCAAAAGGCTCAGCCGGAGATGAAGGCTCTTCGACAGGACTCGGCTGCTCTCAAGACGACCAAGGAAGAGCTGGCGACTAAGATAAGCGAGCTCCGCAACGTTGAGAAGCGAGAGAAGGATGCCAAGACCGAACTGGCCAAGGCACAGCGGTTGACAACAGAGCGTGAATCAGACATCAAGTCACTGCGGGAGAAGCTCAATGCAGAATCAAACAGTCGAGTTCGTCTCGAGGATGCACAGCGTGTGGCCGGGCGAGACCTACGTCGATCTGAGGCCGAGAAGGTAGAGATCAGTGCCCGAGAGGAAAAAGCGACTCGCGAGCTACAGGAAATAAAGGCCGAGGCCAACAAGTTGAGGCCGCTTGTGAAGGAGCTTGAGGAAGAGGTCGAGAAGCTGCAGTCAGAGAAGAAGTCGCTACAGAATGAAGCAGCCCTCAAGACACAGCAATACACCAACGCACAGAGCCTCCTGGGCAGCATGCGCGACCAGACGGCCGAGTTATCGACCCAGCTCAAGGAGTCACGGTCGCAGTCGGAAGCGTTGGAGGAAGAGCTAGCCGAGATTCAGAAGCACCTATCCGAACGCTCTCGCGAAGCGGAGCGCATGCGCGGCATGCTGGCCGACGTGGACGGGCGCGCAGACAGCAAAGTGCGCGAGATGCGATCGCGCATGGAGGCGGCCATTGAAGAGCGGGACAGGATCGAAGACGAGTCGAGCACACTGGCGCGTCGTAAGTCACGCGAGACGGAGGAGCAAAAGCAGAAGATCCGCGAACTAGAGCGCGAGGTCAAGAGTCTGGCCATCGAAAAGGACGAACTGGAAACGAGGGAACGCGACTGGAGGCGACGACGCGAAGAGCTTGAAGGCGTCGAGGAGAAGACTGAGGCAGAGCTCACAGAGATGCGGTCGGCCGTTTCAGATCTACAATCAGCTCTAGACGCATCAGAGCAGCAGGTGCGGGAAGCGGAGAAGCAGAAGACGGACCTCCGAAGGCTGTTGGAGGAGTCAAGGCAGCGTTTCGAAAAGGTGTCCAAGGACCTCAAGACGGCACAGACTAAACTCGGGTCCAGTCTCAGCTCGGAGCGCAGCTCGATGGATTCGTCACGGTCAGGGACCAATGGAGCTGTGGGGCCTGGCGGCGCCGACAACATGTACCTGAAGACGATTCTGCTGCAGTTTTTGGAGCAAAAGGACAACAGGTTGCGAGAACAGCTGGTGCCGGTCCTGGGGAGGATTCTGCAATTCAACAAGTGAGTACCAGGACCCGCTGATGAGCGCTTTGAGGTTGTTGCCCATTACTGACGAATTGGCAGGACGGACGAAAAGAAGTGGCGCGATGCTATTCAGCACATCAACGTGCGGTGAGGTTGAGACGCCAAAAAGAAGGACGGGGGGCCGTTTTTGCCATGACTTTGTCCTATGTGCTCATGTAGGAATATTGCTGAGACCATTCGTGACGTCGCTTCGAGCCGTCCGTGTATGACCTAGGGGAGAAGGGATGGGACGCTTTGCTGGGCACTGGCATGGAGCTACTGACGATACCTAGCTCAGATGATTGAATTGACTGGAGACCGCCGCCAGCGCGGGGGCTTTTTGTCGATGCCAATGCTCGATGCGCGATGCGGACAGCGTGATGGTTAGATCATTGCAGAATCAATGGAACTGGGGAGTCGGACCTTTCCCTCCGACACGGGCGATGTTCCTGCCCGATGTACCAATCACGGTAGCTGATCAGGGTTAATCCCGGCCAGAAGCAGCAAAGAAGGGGCAATGGACAGTGGATGCGTTGTGCGCCAATCGCTCCTGCTTCCAAACGCCAACGCCTCGTCATCTCAAGCGCGTCTCTCCTGCCGTGGGAAGGTTCGATCCAGAGCGCTGTCGTCATGAGAACGTCTCGATTCTAGTTCTTTCTGCACATGCCCGATTAAAGCCGTCATCATCACGAACAGGTCAATCCGCCCACTTCCGTCTTGGGAGGCTGTCAATAGCGGATATAAACACATATGTACCATTTCTCTAGAACGTCTCATTGATAAATATGTTTCATTTCTCATCTCTTCGTACCTTGGCCGTCTGCTCCAAAGCTCAGCGTACCTTATTTACCAGTGCCCAGTGCTCCCCAGGACCACCATCGACCAGAATCACCCACTTCCGAGCATCCACGAAAGCTACATCTACCACTGTGCTCGCCCCTAAGCCCACACCACCACAGCAACAGCGGACAATGTCATCAGCGAAGACCGCCGGCCCTGAGGGCAACAAGCTCTTCACGCGCGAGCATCTCTTCGACCTGTCCGAAAAGGTCGCGCTCGTCACAGGCGGCGGCACGGGCATCGGCCTCATGGCCACGCAAGCACTGGCCGCCAACGCGCCAAGGTGTACATCACCGGTCGCACCCAGGAGAAGCTCGACAACGTCGTCAAGACCTACGGCCAAAATATCCGCGGCGAAATCATTGGCATCCGCGCCGATGTCTCGGACAAGGAGAGCATCAAGAAGCTAGTCAAGGAGCTTGAATCGCGCGAAAAGTGCATCTGTATCCTCGTCAACAATGCCGGCATCAGTTCCAACTCGTTCGAAGTCGAGGCCGACTCGGGCAAAGAGATGAAGAGCAAGCTCTTCGACGACCAGGCCGCTGGCTTTGACGACTGGCTGTCGTCATACCAGACCAACGTGCCCTCCGGCTACTTCCTGTCGACGTCGCTGCTGCCGCTGCTGGAGAAGTCGACCGAGACGCACCCCGGCTGGTCGAGCATCATAATCAACATCACCAGCATCAGCGGTATGATCCAAAAGTCCCAACACCATTTTGCCTACAACGCCTCCAAGGCTGCCGCCATTCATGTCAGCCGCATGCTGGCGCACGAACTCTCCCAGAACAGCGTCAAGGTCCGCGTCAACAGTCTGGCGCCCGGCGTCTTCCCCAGCGAAATGACGACTGGCGACAGCGCCGACGACGCCCAAAAGAGCCAGATCCCCAAGGAGAAGTACGAGTCCAAGGTGCCCGCGGCGCGTCCCGGCAAGGATGAGGACATGGCGGGTGCCATCCTCTTCTTCGCCACAAATCAGTACCTCAACGGCCAGAACGTGGCCGTCGACGGAGGATATACCTTGCAAGCCGGTCTCTAGAGGTCCGAAGAAATAGTGCTCTTGATGTTGGATTAGCGTAACGAGGAAAACAAACACTTGGATCATGATTCATAATGACAATGGAAAAGGAACTGTCAAACCTCCCACCCGTCACATCGTCGCAGATTTCGCGCACCCCACTCCCCTTTTTTCCAGATAAGGCCTGTCTGTTGCAGTGCATGGAACCCTGGGCGCCCAAGTCGGCAAGAAAACGCCTCGAATGCGGGCTAAAATGGTGCCCGTAAGCTTAACAAACCGTGATGGCCTCACGCATCAGGCACTGATATTAGCCCAGCGAACGGTTGTTGGCAATTGAACCCACTCGGGGGGCTTACTTGGCACAAGACCAGCAAACATCCGCCAGTGCCTTTGTGCAAACAACCCGACTTGTTTGACTTCTCACGACAAAGTCTGTCTCGATCGCAGTTTCTCTGGACCAGGAACAAACGCTAAGGACCAGTTGGCATCCGTTGGACGGTGTGGTTGGCTCGATTCGACTAGACATACCACGCAGAATATCAGTAACAGCATTGATTCGCGGATCGCGTAAATGATCCGCTGGACGAAATGAAGGCAGTGGGTTTCGGCGTTTGCAATGCTCCATCTCAGGCACTGTTGTGGGTTTGTTCCTCGCGCCGCGTCAAGTCGAAGAACACTAGGAGAAAAGAATCATGGACCAAAAACGCCCATTGCCGAAGGAAGAGGAAAATCCCAGACGATCCACATGGCACCCGCGTGGCATGGCCCATGCGGTGCCTGGCGCTGCGATGCGACGCCGCTTGAGGAGGGGGGTGTCGGCGATCATAGGGCTGAACCTGTGCCTTTTTTGGGGCAAAGGGCGGGGTGGGCACTCGCGCTGCGAAAGCGAAGGCGGCACTCGTCCCAGTGGCCCCGAACGTTGGAATGGGGGTTGCGCTCGTTACTGCACTGGGAAAGGAGCGCGCTGTCAGCCAGGGGGGCTTGCTACACTTCTACCCGCCCAGCCACGGATCGGATCGACGGTGCATTTTGATCTGGTACGATACGAGCATCCTGGCAACTTACTCCGACTGCATGTCCGGTTGAATGAAGAGTCTCGGGACAATCATTGGCATGGGTATGGGTTACAAATTGCATAGATTCAGTGTTGATCGAATGAATTGGCGACTGATTGCCGCCGATTCTTTAACTTCCGTTCTCCCTCGAGAATCATGTTGAATACCTCGAGAGGAATAGTTCCTGCAGCTACAAACAATAAAAAGCCTTTCCAAGGACTCTGGAAATCAAAACCTCCTTCGGATGTATATTTCTTCGGCTGCAGGCCGCAATCTCTTCTCGAGGCTATCAAACGCCAAAAACATGCATCTCGCTCACTTCCCAAGCCACAGAAAAGCGGGGTATGTCCGAGAAAACCATATTCCATATGCCCAAACAACCAACAAGTGAAGAAAAATAAGGAAATGAAAAATGGAGTGAGGGGGGTGACAAGACTGGGGAATCAGATGTATGTCGCACACTCCGGGTATCATGGTGATGAGAATCCCTAATGCTGGACGTGACCATATCGTCATGTGGTGCCGAATGAACCACTGCCTGACCTGGCAGCTTGTGACAAAAGAGAGGAGAAAAGACCATGACATCGAACACCACATATCGGGCTGCAGAGCCCTGAAATATGGAGCGGGTCGAATAAGGAAAAGAAACAGGCAGGTCCCGTTGTCGCTGAATGCAAAACCAATCATTGAACGTAAGATTCGAGTCGTGAAACGGTTAAATCATGAATCCGTGTGCTTGTAGAGAGGAGATGGCAACCGATAGAGTATACCGGATCATCCACCTTGCTGCTGCTGAAGAGTAGCCGGTTTACATCGAGGAGGCAAAGGGCGCCATCCACTTGATGTCCAGCCAGCCAACCTTATCAAATGCTGTCCAGAGTTTGGATGCCTTGTTGACGTCAATCTTGCAGGCTTGCTGAGCATCCGTTTTGCGGAACTCCTTCTGGATTCTGGCGCATTCGAGGCGACGGATGAAGATCCGACGCTTGCTGGTGAGGTATGTAGCGCAGTCGAGTCGCAGTGCTGCTGCCAATGTCACCTCATCGGGGTGAAGGTGGTGAGCATTGGGGTCATTGGAGAGATCGACCGCGGTGCCCTTCCAATCCACCTTCAGACTGTTGGTCTTGTCGGGAAGAGACGAGAGTGGCGGACAGAGATCAGGCAAGGATGCGAAGTCGCGATCCTCCCGGTTGGGTGCGACGATGCGACGGCTAGGTTCCGGTGTGGCGCTCGTGACCCGAGTCTTCTTGGGTGTCGAGTTGGTCGGGCGAGCCCTGGCGACAGCGGGGGCCGGGCGGGGGCCATGAGCGGGCTTGACGACACGGTCGGGCTTGGCAGCAGGAGTCCTCACGGTCTTTGTGGCAGACACTTTGGCGGACAGCTTGGTCGACTTGGCCGGAGCTAGAGCAATGTATCGTTTGTCTGCCCTGTTCTGGCTCGTTTTCCTGTCGAGCACCAACTGTTTCTTCTCCCTCTTCAGCCAACCTTGAGGGTCCTTGCTGTACATCTCAATGACCTTCGATCTGAATTGTAGGACCAATTCGTATTCCTCACGTTTGGGCGGTGGAGAACGGCGGAAAGTGGTCGTGTCTCTGGAAGCGATGTGTTCATCGACGAGGCGCCGGTGAGAGGCAGTCTCATGTGCAGGGAAGAGAGGCTGCTGAGGTGGGCTCAAAGACAGGTCGTCGCGAGGGAAAAGAATGGGATCCTTTTCGGTATGGCTTGCGGCAGCTGCGGCAGCATTGTTGTTTGCGGCTTTCGTGAGTGGCGAGACTGGTGGCGACATGGGCATCCTGAGTGCATCCCCAGCGGCTTCCTGCGCAGGCGTAGCCATTGGGCTGACCTGCGCAGAGTGATTGAAGCTGTCGAGAGGAGTCGGATCGGGTGGCGACATGAGACTGGTGAAATCGAAGCCCTTCTTAAGGGCATCGGCGGTCAATGCCGCGGAAGCGTGTTGGTGCGCGCTGCTCATGGTGACGATGGGGAGGCGATGTTGAGAGCGAGGAGTGTAAATCGAGCAAGTGTGAAACGGGGAAATGAATTGGAAAGGGGGGGATCCAACGAAAGATATCGCTGTGGGTTAAACAACCTCCGAAAGGTAAAGAAGGTGTGTGATGCGTTGTAGAGGTCTGGATGAGTGTTTGTCAGCTGTCGGGGGGTTGTTGATGACTGCTTGTATTGGTCGCAAGTGGTGGGTGGCGAGATGCAGTGAGGCGGAGTTGGGCGACAGAAGCTGACCGACAACGATGGAGATATCGGAGATGGGAGGGCCTGCGACCGAACCAGAAATACGTAGCCAACGTAAGCGAAAAGAATGGTTGATATTCCCAGGCAAAGCTGACACCAAGTCAGATGAGAGAAGTCCGATTGATGGATTCCGTTTCCCTGCGCTCAATTGATGGATGGATGGATAGATGAGCGGCGGCGGCGGTCGGGCGAGAGCCCAAGTCGCGATGAAGGTGGAAAAGCGTCGTTACGGCCTATGATCCCCTGCACGCAAGGTTGTTTTTTCGATGAGAGACCAATTGAGTGAAAGAAGTACTGGTGTGTGCAATTGATTGCCGGCACCATTAACGGAATGGAATCGTCAAAGAGAACAGCAGGCGTTGGGATAGATGGTCAAGTTGGGTAGGAGAGGAGGGGTAAGATTCTAGGCACCGCCTTGAGACTCTCTCGATGCTTTCTGATCTTCTTGATGGAAGGACAAACAGGGCGGATTAGCGGTATAAGGCGGGGCCAATGCGTTCTTCCACTGAACAGAACAATGGATCGTTTCGATGCAATGTATCAGGAAGAAGGGTAACTTATGACGAAACCCGAGCGTAATCTTCCGGTTGTCTTGTGGTCTTGTAGCGTACCTCTGTTGCAGCGTTGGTGCTCGTGTGAAACGGTAAGACGTGATGAGCAACAGGTCAAGAGGGTGGACGGAAGAGGTGGAACGGAAGAAGAGGAGAGAAGGAAAGCATGGGAAGAAAGGAGAAGGAAGTGTACGAAGGAAGTACTGGTGAGGCCCTGGATGTTTGTGATGACTGGACTGGGACCACCGCAGAAGGCTCCCAATGCCAGCCTGGACAGACACTGAGGACCCCCTCCCGCAGAGGCCAAAAGAGAGCGACAGCAGGAGAGGCACAGGCAACGGCGGCAAAGGAACACGGTCAAGGTGGCCCAAAGTTGTGGGCATGGTCAACTTGACGGCTTCGTTGGAGGCGGAGTCACGCCCCCAATCCTCCCACCCCTTCGAACCTCCTCTGATCACGCCCCACCCCTTGCTTCCAGAAGCCGCACGCCCCCTCCTTGAACCCCCTACTGCCCCTCTCCAGGACGCCCGTTTCGGCAAGGGTTTTAGGGCCACCCCCACGAAGATTCGCGTCCAGCCAGTGAGACCTAGCCACACCAGATGATCCGGTGTGCTCTCTGACACCCGTTTTCCGATGAAGGGGCGAAAAGAGGAGGGAGACATGAAGTGTGAGCCAGACGGAGGGTTTGCACGCCAGAACACTGCTGCAAAATACGCAGTCGCAACAATATGCTTGCATTGTTGTATGCTTGGTCATTCCTGTCTTATTCTTAATTGATGGAGGCGCTCTGCACACCTCGATCAGGCAGGCAGCGAGGGGAGCGTTCCCGTCCCCGAGGCAGGCTGCGGTGGAAGGAGAGGCCGGGAAGGTGAGTGGTTCCTGCTGCTGCCGCCGCCTGTGCCCTATTCTGGGGCCGTCGGTGCCAAGTCGTTGGGGCCTGATGTACCCCATGTACCCTGGCACCAGAAGTACCCCGGGTGCCTGGGACCCACGAGCAGGCGGCCACCCTCTTTCGCATGGGGGCAAGCATTTGTCCTCACCTCAATTCCACCCTACCTCTTAAGGTACTGTAGTTAAGCAACCTTCTGCCACCTACCAACGTGTGCGCGTGCTGCCAACGCTCGAGGAAGTTGTCGGTTGGCGAAGTTGCGATGGCATATGAATGTGAGGGGTCAATGCGACAAGCCATCGCTCTGGAGCAGTTGGCAACGTTGGCAGAGTTGTCAGAAACACCCAATGGAAGAAGAGGCATGTTGGCGCCCACCCGCCCGAACGATATTGACCACCTTTAGCAAAGTGGTTAACAAGTAGGCTGCGGGAGGTGTGGCCCATCCGAGAGCGGGGGGGAGGGGGTGAGGATGTGCAATCAGACGGAGGGGTGCCAACTCGCCACGGACAAGTGACATGCTGTCTCTGAAGTTGGGTGTTGCTGATGGCATGGTTAGCAAACGTCAGATGGGGGCTGATTCCACTTCGACTATTGTCTTGTTGCGTGTGCTGTCTGGAGGGGGATTGGAACCACTTGGTGAATCTGCACGTCTGCATGTCTGCCCTCGACTGATGGTCGTGCGAGGTTGTTTTGGGCATCCATACATTACCTGCGGCACTTGACCTGTCGTTGGTCTTGTTAAGTCGCCTCTTGCGTTGAAACGCAAAGGAACTCCTCGGAGCCCCTCTGGAAGTTAGGGTCCAAAATGACGCGAGTTGTGGAGAACGAGGCGGTCTGGCTAGATCGACATGTGTGAATGCTAGTCATCTATGGAGCTACTTAAGGGCGACGCGAGCGATTCTTATGAGCACGGCATGCGCCTTCTAAAAAGAATAAAGAGTAAGGTATGTCGTAGGCTCGCCCTATATGGGCAAGGCGGTCAACCGAAGTAAGGAGCAACTCGAGAGGTAGTCTCTGGTAAGGTAGATAGGTGATTGGGACGGTATCGATAATAGGTGAGGTAGCGTTCTTGACGTGCAAGTCAGCTCGCACTTAGCTTGAAGGGGTTCGTCACTTGGTGCGAGGCAAGCTTGCACTGTCAGGAGCAGGCTCCAAGCGAATGGAATGGAAGAACGGGAAAGTTTGCTCGACGTGTTCTGTTGCCTCGTGTCGGTGGGTGTTATATTTCTACCGACATCAGCTTGTAAGATAGATAGCCTTCGCATCTCGCCTGCTGAAGCATGGGAGGCAGTTTGCGAGAGAAAGAGGGCGACATCAACCACAGCGGCCGCTCCAATCTTGAGCAGGGCTGTGGGCCATTGTGAAACGGCAGAAAGCCGGTTTCTTGTCCCTGAGGGAGGGAGCCCTCTTCATCGACAACAGGAAAACATCCAATGAGGTGTCAGGATGGTGAAAGACATAGCGTGGCCATTGACGACCCATTGAGCCCTCTGGTGGAGGTTCGCCAGACCTGAGCCATGCGCAGTGGCCAGATCCAGGCACGCGCATGTGACAACAGAAGGGGGACAAAACGTGATGAATTGACCAATGGCTCTGGTCCCCCAGAAGGATGCCTATCAGCCCCAATTGAATAAGGGAGGGGGTGCAATTGGGTGTGGTGGAAGGGGTGGTGAATTGGTCTGACCGCTTGATGTGTTCGCTGTCAAAAGCTGGTGTCGCTGCCTGTGGAGTTCCTGGCCGCTGTTTAAGTCAAGTGCCTGCCTGGCGGCGTAGGGGAGAACATCGTCATCACGGATTGCGGGTTTTCATTGACGGCATGACTCTTGCGCTGGTGCCATGGATGGACACGCCAGACGAGGCCGATTCGTACGACATGTCTTGCGGTGAGAGAGCGCAAGCAGTCGGGCTATCGACTTCAGGTGGAGGTTCAGAAGAAGGGCAGAGGACACACAGGAAGAGTAGAGGTGGATAACGATGAGTCGATGAGTGAGTCACACAAGTACCGAGCATGAGAAGAGGTCGAATTTCGAAAGTCGATTGGCCCTTCCCATGGCACATTTGCATCGGACAACGCCCAGGCGCCTTGCTAGGTCGGGCTAGCCATGATCGCCATCATTCTATCGATAAGACGTCACCACTGGTGCAGAAGGCACGATGTAGCTTAGCTAGGCAGGAGGTATCGGTACGCGCCTACCAGTGGGTGCTGTTGCCTTGGCCTTCCAGCGCACGTGTTGGAGCCTGATACACCTGTCCCCGTTTTTCCCGTTATGGTGATGGAAATTCCGCTATTGGCACCTCCAACCTAGCATGGCCACCTGCGACTTGCCTCTACCTTGCTACCTAGGTGCAGAGCGCGCCGAACTCCAAGGATTTCGTCAGCGTGCCGACCGTGTCGGAGTCGGAGCATTCGGAAACTGACAAATCCAACCCCCAACAGCCGGGACTAACTCTCCAACTCTTAGTACAGTCATCGAACTTGTCGGGCTTTACCCACCTGTACATGGAAAGGCTGTACAGATGACCCTCCACGCCCCCTAGTTGACCAAACGAGACGGGAACACCTGAATGCCAGGTAAATGCAACTGCTGACAGCTCCTTTCAGCACTAAGCACAGTGCCCCGACCCACGAGTCCTAAAGCTTGGTATCCCGAACCTTCCGAGAGGCCAATTGTTTCGAACTCGAGCTCCTATGCGTTCTACTCTCACAGTCCAGGCAGAAACGATGGGCGCGCGAATTCATCGCGATCAAATGCGAGGTCCAGATCCAGGCTGCAGTGTTGGTTCCACCTGCAGCCACCGGGTCAAAGCCTCAAGCCTCGACAGTATGCCCTAGCAAAAAACGCACTTACTTCTGGATCCAGGCGTCCAGGTGCAGTTGAACCATTGAACCACCACGATTCAGTGCAGGGGCGTGCTACTTATTCTGGACGCCCTGACGATCAACCTTGCTACCCTGGGCAGTGTCGGTGTTGAACTTTGGCTGCCTGGTGCGATTGCCCTAGACACTGATAATCAGCCCGTTTGCTGTTCCGAATTCAAGGCATTCAAGGCTGCACATAGCTTGAGGCCACGCAGGCCTTTGTGCTGCCTTGAGTTTGATTTTCACTCTGCGTCGATTGACCAATTGCCGCCAATCGCCCTACTGTACTGTATGCCCAGCACGGCTTGCTCACATCGAATCTCGCATTCCAGTTCACCGAAGCAGGGTTGGGTCATGAGCACCCTGTCCTGTCCTGTCCTGTCCTGTCCTGCCCTGTCCTACCTTGCTTCGTCTTCACCTGCAAGGACCGGCGACAATTTGATCGGGGCACGCCCTCTCCATCTCCGGTGTCATCAAGGAAGCGCACATGACCCTGCTGTCGGGGTTAGTGGTGTGTGGTAGTGGTGGTGATGGTGGTGGTGTCCCCTCCCCCACTTACAACATGAAGAATGAACCTGCAAGCATTCTTTCCCTTACCCTTCCTTCCTTACAACCCTCACTGTCAGTGATAGGGCGGCTTCGTCAACTTGCCGCTGCTGGGTGTGGCGCGGCCCGTGTTGTGCCTCGTCTGTCATCTGAACGAATGTGCCCCGCCGCCAGCCGTCTCTCGTGACGGCCATGACGACGCTGGGCCGGTCACTCGACAACCATAATCCGAGACACCGATTGCCAACGTCCCGTGCACCGATTAGAACCGGGTGGCTTCGATAATACCATCCGATACTTATCGTCTGCGCCGACTTTGACAAAAGGAGAAACGAGAGAGAGAGGAGAGGTTCCGTGGAGCCGGCGCATGCCGGCGCATCAATCTTCACGCCTTCATCGTCTGTGGAAGGTGCTGTGCATACCCTTTCACATTTTGGCCCTCCTCCGTCTCCGTCCCTAGTCTGGTCTGGCCCGGCCTGGCCTGTGATGGACCCCCGTGAACCCCCTTGGATCTATTCATGCCGGGGACAGCAGGCCCTCCGTCACCGTGTAGCTCGCATCACCCCTCGGGCGCCTAATTAAGGCAGCTAGATATTAGTAGGACCCTCATCGCCATTTCACCGCCTCTATTCTGTTCGGCGAAAATGCTCACTTGCGTGCGTCTTAGCGACGGAAAGGAGGGGTCGAGGGCGAACCCCGACGCGACGAGGGAGGGGCACGTTGACCCGCGCGCATTGATCCACTGGAATTACCCCGCGACGCTCCTCCTATCGCTCGTATCGCTTGCGTTATCTTGATTAATGCTCAACCCCTCCATCGGGCCCCGCCGGCCTTCGTTTGGCCCTCGCCTGGGTCCTCAACAAGTATTGACACCCGATCAGCCCTCCCTCGGACAAACAGAACTGATCAGGGAGAGTTTTGGCCGCATTGCGAGCTGAGATCGGTGGCTGGCCGACTGCTGGCCACTGGCTGCTGCGAACAACAGCCTAAGTGACACGCATCGGCGCCTCTTACATCTGCAAGTGATTGCCTTCTGTTTTCCGCTCGATCTTGCCGCGCAATAGCGGTCACCTTAGCTCAACAACATCTACGTACTTGCAATAATTCTCCATTACGCTGGATCTATGATTGCATCCGCCGGGTGGCTTTCGGTGCCGTGACTCGCGTGACAAAAGCATTCGAAAGCAATGGTGAGGTAGTAAAGCAGTCGTAAGATGATCAGCAGGATTTGAAACGGGTCCCAGCGTCCTGTATTCAGGGTATTGGGAAGTGATTGATGTACTCATGTGGTTTGCAATGTGAGCACATTTGAAGCCACTCGAGTGTACATCATGCTACTTGGACTCCCTTGCCTTATACTACGGCCGTCATATGACATTCTCGGTGCATCGATTGGGCTACAGAATACCTGATTACCTTCAACTTAACAATCGGACACCGACGAGTAGCAATATGCGTAGGCTCATAGCTGATTGCCGCTCCGATTTGCCAATTGGCAGTCGGCCGCGGCCTCAACCTGCATTTCTGAGTGGGGAGATATTGCCCGACAGCTCCCTGGACCCCCTTAGCCAACAGACAACCTTGGCAGCTGGGCGTTCTTGTCAGTGGCCACGTATAATCGGGCGCGGAACAATGCCACTGCGGACTAACAAGAATGATGCCAGGGCCTGGTTTCTCAGCCCCTGATCTGCAGCACGCCTCGTGGCTCCATCCAAGAGGCACGTCACAGCGGGGACGGGGCGGAAACATATGCATTCGAAGAGGCCTATTCACGCGAGGCACTGTTGATCAAATTGTTTTTCTTTCATCATGATGCATCTATATTGGCATCTTCATCAAAATCGCTCGCCCCAATCGCAGGAACCGT